AGGTTTCCCAACACGTGCAAAACTTAGTTTAATTTGAGTACTGTGGGTTACTCCCATTGTCCAAAGACATGGGGTTTAGATAAGCTGGTGTGTGCGCAATCCCTATGGTGGACTACCATCCCATACAAGCAAAACATGGATTTTGAAAAATAGGTGGACCTTTTAGAATATTGTACAATGCTGCATCACAATAACGGCCTAACTCTGGTATACAAACTGAGGCCTGTATCACAAAGCAGGATATCATGCTTAGCTAGATACCTTATATCCGAGAAGTTTGTTCTCTTGCATTTCGCCTAGACTAAGATAAAGTCCATTTCACCTAGGGTACCTTAAATCTGACAAGTTATCTAGCTAACCAGCAAGCCTCACTTTGTGATAGATATGACTGGCCGGTACTTGTAGCAGCTTGAAGGCAAATACATTCCAAGCTACCTGCCCTAGATAAACACAGATCAGCTGACAACAGCGGGGACTTCCTGGTCAACAGTAAACCAAAACAGGCTAACATAATGCCATAATCACGTTTGTTGTTGTTAAATACCAGCAGCAAACAATCCCAAGATACCTTCAGATGCTGAGATATCCAGTACCCAGTGGCAAAAAAATGGTTTTTTTCCAGGCCAAAGACACAACAGGCTACACTGGCCTGATCGCCGCTAAATGACTTATTCACAAATGCATACGGCATGTCATTGCACATGCCTGATTAAGTGCTCATGGCAACTGTACTATGGAGGGTGAGGTCCAACCAGAAGCCCATTTCATGAAGACATTAAGAATTTTGGCAAAGCAGAAGCTGCAAGTGAGGAGACAGGACCAACTAATACAGCGCCAACCAGTTTAACTTTCCAAAAGGAAACACAAGCAGGTAGGCTAAAAAAAAAGGAAAAGTATCCACTAATAATATGGAGGGTTTGAGTTTCCTCACAACACTAATAGCATTTATATTACATATAGCTGTTAAGCTGATTTATCACCCTACATTTTTCAGACATTTACACAACAGGATATTTGACTGCATCACAGCGGGTTATGTACAGTACCTTGGCTCTGGGTTCCTGCATTAAAGCCCCTTCCGGGAATCTAAAGCGGTAACCTTTCAAATCACGAGTGTGTGGTGTTAGCCAGCATACTACTTATAGTCTAATAATTCTGGATGTTTGGATGTTGTGGGGCTCAAAAGGCAGATGGGAACCAAACACACAGCTGCTGGGATGAGAGAGAGAGAGAGAGAGAGAGAGCGACAGAGAGAGAGGTACTAGGGTAAAAAAGGTGACAATCCAAATTCTATGATATCCGAGAACAACTCTGATACCCAGGAAAATTAACAGGCGCCGACTGCTTAAATGAACAAACAGCCTTTACCATTCGGCCAAGAAGCATATCCTAATAGGCATATTCTTGCAAAAAGCTTCATTGTGAGAGACCTATATAGTAACAAGTGTCCCTATTTGCAGAAGTAAACATTTACTTGAAAATAAATCCATACAGAATATTCCAACTTAGTAAACAGACGGGCCCTTTAAATCGTCTGCTGTGCTGCTTGTTAAGATGGACAGTCCATTTCACTCGAGCCAAGGTACAGTCACATGACTGCCTCTCTGGCTCACTGTGGTTCGATTCCATCGAGAGATGGATTGACTGAGCAGGAGTCACCCTTTGGCAGCCAAAAACGGAGCCCTCCACATGGACAAACAGCAAGCCACCTGGTGGATCTGTGATAACGGGTTTCTTGCGAGGATTACATCATACAGACGGGGAAGCAGAGTGAATCAAAAGTGGAGGAAAACATTAAATGTGTGTGCATGAGAGAAGGTTTGGCCGTAAACCACAAGCCACACACAGCCAATGCTCACTGCAAGGACAGTTTATCTTCTAACCATAAGCACATCATGAACTCTCTACCTCCGCCCAGCCAAGATGTTAAATCCCAACCCAAAATACAAGTCCTTCACAAACGAGGTGGTGTGGTTATAGCCTGTGCAACGTTTTTAGCTAACACACCAAAGCTACAGGTCTCGCTTTCAGGTGAATGATTCAAGGCTGCCTGTAATTCTGGGTATGTTTTAGGGCTGGGTGATATATCGATATTGCATCGCGCATGCGCGATAATCACCAGGGCTTCCGATGACGCATCTGGCCGGACGCCAGCTTTTCGGTGCTGTTTGGACATTTATTTATGCCCACAATTTGTGAAGCAGTTTAGTCGTATGGCTAAAATATTAATGAAGCTTTGTATGACGCCCAAAAGTCATTATCAGTATAAAGACGGCATATCCCTATGTTTAATAAATGCGTCAGACTTTGAACTGCAAAAAGTACCACCACACCGCCGACGTCTTTTTACGTTGTTTATCCACAAGATCTCGTCTTTAAAAAGATGTGGTGGCTACTCTTCTTCACCGGGACTTCAGTGCATATTACACTGAGGTATACCAAACCATAGTATACCAAAACAGTATTACGTGGTGTGCTCCGCTAATCGAATTTAAGGAACATAAAGTTTATACAGATTATTAACTTTTGGGTATCACAAAACGCATCTCATTAATATTTAAACCATACTACTAATAATCTTACCAAATTATGGCCATAAATAAATGTCTGTATATCACTGAAAAGCTGGCATCTGGCCAAATGCTTCGTCTGTCATCTGTAGCCCTGGTGGATATGATATCGCCCAGCCCTAGTAAGTTTTGTTCCAGGCAGCTGGATGAGACTATGAGTCACAGAGACAAGAAACTCAGTAAAGCACTAAATCCCAAGTAGCTATGACCTAATAACACAGCTTTACAAATCCACTCCTCAGGTCCTCCTTTAGTAGGGGGAACCTCATGCGGCTGCGTCCTTGTGTTCAGTCATTCAGCCCACAGAGCAGGTCAGTTTAAGGAAGATGTCTGCAGTTTCTGCTGCTCTGGCTCCCTGACGGGCCACCATGGTCCTTCTTTAATCGGCTCACGCTCCAGGGATGCTGGACAAAGGCTGCAAAGACTTTCATGCAACCACCCCATAACAGGTAAGTAAAGAAGTAAAGGAACAAGAAAAAACCTTTAGAAAGCAAAGTCCGGGAGAAAAACAGATGTGCGATACAGCTGTAGGAAAAGGCGTCACACCAACAGAGGGGAGAGGCGCGGGGTGCAGATGAAAGGTTGCAGTGCCCCCCCTCCATCATCAAAAATGTGACATCAGCCAAAGATTAAACTGAGTGTAGGTATGCAGATAGACATGCAGAACCTCCTGCCCGATAACACAAAAGACCGCACTGCTTATTTCCAGTTCTTAAGCTACTGACTTTCTATCATGCATTCGGTAAACTTAAATGATGAAGGGTCGCATCACTAGCAATGCAAACAAAATAAGGACAAATCCAGAACTTCATTATACTCTCCACCTGCCAATCAAGCTGCTACAGCCCTTACCAGATGCGCTTCAATGCACGACTTACCCAAGCTGCAGCCCAGGGGCCTCTGCAAATGAGGGGCGTCGACTAACCTTGTTTGATTAAATTTTCTGTGTTGTTATTTCTCAGTGAGTGACTTAACCACAACATTTTCAGCTGTCAATTGGTTGACTGATCGGATTGATGCAACAAGTTCCAAATGGCAATTAAGTGGCCACACCAAAGAAAAAGTGCAGATGCAAGAAGGAAATAAAGAACTAAAAAAACTCTCTCGCTCTATTTTTATATATATATATAGTCGAGTCGACAAGTTGTTTGATGACGTCATCACACGGACGCAGCAGAGGAACACGGGTGTCCAACAATGAGCAACTTTTATTAAGGTTCTCTGTAACATTAACAGTCAACATGACAATTAAAAAAACAAAACATAGGCTAATAACTTGAATTTTCTGGTAAATTTAAGTGCACAACAGAAAGTGGGAACAGCTTAAGCTGAGACAGCCAAGGCACACAGAATGATTCTGCGCTGGATATCACCGGGTGTTCTGACGAGTTGAACTACTTTGTCGTTTGGCTACCATAGTGCTAATCGATAGCCCTAACCCTAACTCTTGCCCTAATCCTAACCCTAACCCCCCAAACGGTGGAACTGCACACGCGCAAAAAGGCTCGATAGTACGTCTCGATAGGTAGCTCAACTCGTCAGAACACCGGGATCAGCGGACCTCGTCCGTTATAGACGATATTCCGTTATAAGCGAGTCCACTATAATGGGATTTTACTGTAACACATTAATAGAAGAATGAAAACACACTGGCTTGCATGCTTAACAAAATATTAGATAGAGAACCATTTCTTTATAAAATAACCGAAAATTCAAGCCTTCACAATAGCAAAACACGCTAAGAAAACAACTTCAGCTTGCAAGAAAAATTTAATAAAATTCTAAACTCACCAGCAGGTAGCCTCTAAAAAAATTAATAAAAAAATCAGGTGATATTTCTTCCGTAATTTTCTTATTTCACAGCAAAGTAATTCTATTCTGAGTTGCCCTCATATTCCTCATAGCGTACATAACGCTAGTACCTTTACTGTACTTCAACACTGACTTGCAGATTGTGCAGGTCACCGTGCTGTTTGTGTGGTCTAGAATGAAGTATTTCCATACATGTGATGTGTGTCTGTCACCTACTGCCTCTGCTGCAATGTCTCTCATCTTGTTGTGGTCTTGTGTTTAAATTCCCCTCCACGCGCCAACGCGCCCTTTTTATGAAGTGACTATAATAATTGGTTAAGTCAAGGAACGCATGTCAGCGTAAGCCAATCAGAGGCAGAGATTGCATTGCGTACACAAGTGTGCACACAGAGGAAAAAAAAAAAAAACACGACTTGACTTCTCTCAGCGGTCGTCGACTTGTGCTTCTGACGTTGACCTGCAGGCCCATCATAGGAGGACCCATGTCTGCATTTGCTTTTACCTCCTCTGCTAAATCATGGCAAAACCGCAGGGTGCCTCTGATAGCAGAAACAGCCCAGGGTCTCTGATCAAGATGTACATCATGCTGAATAATTTACATGCACAACCATCACTGACCTCTTCCAGGCTGCCCTCCACCTTGCCATTGCCCGTCTTCTCCAGGCTGCTGAGCGTCGCATCCGATTTGGAGCGCTGGTGCATGCGGCGGGACGGCGAGGAGCAGGCTTTGCCGGATGAGTCTCGCAGCTCAGCGGGCCCGAGGCCATCTGACAGGATGAGGCGCCGCAGGCGGGCGCCCCGGGAGTGTCGCTGCGCAGAGATGTGCATGTCGGAGGAGAGGGCTCCCAGCAGCCAGGCACAGAGCAGCGAGAAGGCCACGCCCTGCCGGCAACGGTGCAGCACGTAGGGCCGGATGGCTCCCCCCACCTCCGCATCCATGTGCACGTACATGTTGAGCAGCTGCGGCAGGTAGAAGTCCACCTCTTCGTGGCGGAAGCTGAAGAGTCGATTGCCAATATAGGCCTGCACGCCGGGCTCCTTAGAGTTGTACAGGTAGGAGATGGCCATGGAGACATCGAAGAGCTTGGACTCAAACAGCCGCAGGAGCCAGGACTGCTTGGCGGCGCCGTTTGGCTCCCTCCGGAACAGCACCCCTCTGTCCTCCTCATCCTCCTCCTGCTCCGTGCAGATCTCAAGGTTCAGGATACTCCTGACCTCCGGCGGGTCGGCTATGCAGCCCCCGTTGATGACTCCCTGCCCCCTGGAGCTGTTCCCTGGCTCGCCGTCACCCTGCAGCTGCTGAGCCTTCTGCAAGACCTCCTGGCAGGCCACCCTGGCCACCTCGGGGTCTATTAGCAGCTCCGGATCCGCCAGGCCCTCCGTGATCACATCCAAGTAGGGGCTGCTGCCTCTCAAGCTTCCAGAGCTACTGCTGCTGCTGATGGGACTGGCCCACCGGATATGCTGGTGGCCAGGGCAGGAGGAGGATGTTGAGGAGGTGGAGGGTGAGGAAGGACAGGAGGAGGATGAGGCAGAGGAGGATGTTGGGCTCAGCTGAAGCTCCTCCATCTGGGCCGGGGGCAAGGCTACGTCGGCGTCAGCCATGGCCGAGCAAATCAGCACCACTGCAGGCATGGAGGGAGAGAAGTCAGCCAGGAAAGTCATCGGCATGATGATGACGTGTTACTCCTGGCAGTGACAAAAGCTGCCACAGCTTAGCTTTCATCAGTAGTGAAAACAGAAACTAAATTGCATGTGCTTCCACTGAACCATGTCCATTCCCAAAACAGTCAAAACCTCCCCGTGTGCCTAAGCACATAGCTGGAATTCTATGAATTCCCCAGCTTAACAACAATGGGAGCCTCTTCATAAAAAAAATAATAATAATAAAAAAAAAATTATTTAAAAATCAGGAAATACATTTTTAAAACACAATCCATCCCATGTGCATGTGCTGCAATGTATACTGGCTAAAACGGCTGAAGCAAGCAAGCAGAGATGTCACACCTAAACAAAACACTGTTCACCCAAGACCGCCCTTCATGGCACATAATTCAGGTCAAAATTACCACAACTCGCAGCATACACAAATTCATAAACATCCCTGCTTGCTGGCTAATTTGGCTTAGGTACATATCAGGCACATCAGATTAGAATGCAACATAATTGCTGAGCCAGGCACAAGAAATGGAGGTCAGCTCTGGATTCTGGCCTTCCACAGATATCATCATCCATGTAATAAAATGAAAATTAAATTAAAAGAAAAATGAAATTAAATTAAATCTAGAGAGTCAAGGTTCCCACCTCAATCACCTACATCACGATCATCTGTTTTACCATATAGTACTGGGGCTTTGGATTACAAGATTTCTGCTGTGTGTGTGGTCATACCCTAGAGGAACTTTACCCAGACTGCTTTGGTATAAACTGCATAAACAGACAGAGCTACATAAATGCTTTGACCTAAAGTGGTTTAATAATGGAAACAAAAATCAGCGTTCAGTATCTCTCTACCCACATAATCAGTTCAATGGAAAAAAAAAAAGCTTTTGATCTTATGCTAATTCTCTCCATCCGCTGATACAAGATATATTACATTAGCTATCGGAGTCAGTGAGCTGTGTCTATGTTTCATGTTCTCCCAGTGGAGCTGGGAAACTTGCATAAGGTCACCTTGAAAGCAACCGCAAGGAAGATGCAACTTATTTAACCAGGTTTCACTTATTCATGATGATATTTATCTATGCTTTATTTAAGTCAAACAGAGCCCAGTATTTCAGCAAGCCTGTACTGCATGACAAAACGAAGCTGGAAGCCCATATTTATCTCAATGTAAACCAACAGTGAAAGTGATGTTTATTAGACAGGGGACAAAATAGGATGAATGAAACGCTGCAGTAAGGCAGGTTGATATGCTGTAAATGCCCATCATGTACTGTACTTTAGAACGCACCTGTTACCCATTCATTCACAGAATAGCCATTGAATAAGGCCTGACATTGCCAGAGCAGGACGAATGACACGTACTAATGCAACGTGGCATGTGGAGAGAGGCAGAGGGGCGTGAAGCTGCCTGGCAGGTTTGACGTGTCAAAGAGCAGCTTTCTTTGTCTCCAGGCCTGCCATCAGATCTGTGCGTCTGATCAGCGCTGACGCCTTCTCTCATTCGACGGGGTCAAGCTGTGAGATATTAAATCAGCGGGTCTTCTTCCCCCTGAATGCTACATTAATTTCACACTCTCCAACTGTGTGAAATAGCGCTCGCAATCTGACAGACATCCAACGAAGATTCAAAATATAATAAAGCTTCATGCAAAAGTAAGGTTGGCAAAATATTTTATCACGGTAATTTCCCCCCCCCCCATAATCGGTCAATATCGATAATCACCACAATTTAAATCACGTAATCATTTAATCAATTCAAGGCTCCAATGCTACTTAAAATTCCATTAGGATTCCCCTTAAACACATTCAGAAGATGAAAAAAGACGAAAAATTTAATGGACTGCAAACTGAAATCGAATTTTAATAAAACATACAAAAATTAATTTGTGTTGTAGGGCGTAACCAAAGGCATAGGAGAGAGGTTTATGTTGAGGGGATACAACACATGTGTGGTGGATTGTGGAACTGTGGGATGCAACAGTTATCATTATTGAACAGTGGAGAACCGGTTCACAGTCTCAGCCAGCCTTGAAAGCAGGCTTTTTCAAGTGCTAATCCGTCTGAGCGGGAGTCCTGCCTACTGCAAAGGAAATTCCTGCTGGCAAGGAACATTGGGAATGCCTCTTTTCAGGGGGTGCACAGGTTAACAGCCAGGAGAAGCTCTTTTCGATAATGAATTGGCTGAGTAAATGAATGAACACAAAGCATTAATTCCATAAAGGGCACATAAAAAATGTAAATGTAAAAAATAAAAAAATGCTTCTTTTTTTGCACAGAATACAATTCGCAGTCAGACAACCTTGAGCAGAAGGGGTGTTACCACAAGACCAAGGCTTCACTGTACCGGTACAATATCAGCCATGTTGAGCTTGGCTCACAGGGAGATGTCACCTGCTGGCATGTAACCGGAGAACAGGCATAAATAAAGCATAGCTGTCCCTTGCTTCAGTCTGGGTATGTTTCTGATCCATTAAAAAAACAAGACAGAGGTGAGCCTGAGAGTCGAGGTACAATCTTCCGTAATCAGAGGAAAGTAGGGCTGTCACTATCGATTATATCAATAATTGAGTAACCTACCGATTAATCTGAGGATTCATCAAGTAGTCGTTTTTAATATTATTATTATTATTATTATTATTATTATTATAATAAAATATATGATAAATTGCATTTGGAGCAAAGCAAGAACCAACCAACCATTGCAGGGTCACACATATGGTCAATTTAAGCATGCCAGTTCATTTAAGTTGCATGTTTCTGGACAGTGTAAGGAAACAAGAGACTCTGCCAAAAAGTCACACCTACACATGGGTGAACATGCAAACTGCTCATGCCCAAAGTGGCGGTGTGCAGCGACAGCACTACGCGCTTCACCACTGTGCCATCCTGACAGGCGTGCACAATGTGCGATGTTAAAATATCGACACGGCATTTCATGCACATGCAATTGACATCACAAGGACCGCAAGTCCGCTAGGTTCAAACCATCAATATGTTGCGCTAAAACATTTTTGGCCTATCAAATGAAACCAAAAATTTAGCAAGCTTAGGCAGTTTTAACAACGGTTCCATTTCAATATCAAGTATATGTTTTTTTTTAAAAAAATATCAGTCTAAAGCTTACTTGTATTGGATGTGCTCTGCATGCACTCTCTGAGACAATCATAATCAGTCACATCCTTGCTCTATTATTGACCATGCGGTGTATTCGTGAGAAACTGAACAAAAATTACCAAAGAGGAGAAAAGTGAACAAGAACTGGTTACGAAAAGGCATTCACCTTCCTCTGTATGGAACTGCATTTCATAGAGAGAATATTGAGCAAAAGCAAGTGATTTTCTGGCACAGCTTTGTGTCTGTTGGCACAAATAACTGCAATACCCCTATTTCTTTGACAGATTTTGGTGGTAGATAAGTTCCATTTGGATATATAGTTCATCATCAACTCTTAAACATCGCAAAAACAAATATTATTGAGCCCTACTCAAAACACAATATGTTCACAAAAAATAATTTATGCTATATTGTTAATATGTACCATATTATGGAAGATGACGTGGCTAAGGAATAGGGCTAACTTTTGTTTTAGCAGTGATTGTATCACGTCTATTTCAAAATAAAGTAAATTAAGCTAAATTATTTAAAGTCAAAGTGATGACAAAGACAGACAAGCTACTCTGAGGCTAAATGACACATATCTATAGCTAATTTCACGTTACTTCAAACCCCAGTGTCGTCTAAATTTGCATTACAGTCATGCTGTAGTGATATTTACATCATGTTTTGCAATACTGACAGACGACTGCATTTTGCTTCCATACAACTGATTTGCACTTTATTTTCACCTTCATCTGCAATACGCCTTCTCCCATCCACCATATTGCAGAGTAATTTGGAAATAAAATTTTAATCAATGCTTTTTAATAATCAAATAATCGAATTTAATTGAGTAATCGTGACAATTCTAGAGGAAAGTCAGGAGTCTCCGCTTATGCGGTCAGTCCTGCGGGGGGTCATACCCATTTTACTGCTTCTATAGGACATCACAAGACAGAGTCACTCTAAGCAAAGAGGTGATACGCAACTGCAGACAGTGTAGTGTTCATTAACACAATGGCTGCCAGTCAGACCATCACAACTTAACACAGTTCTACAGTTACCCTTTTTGGAAATATGGAAATAAGGCCGGCCACTAAACTGTTAGAAAGGAAGCCTGCATGGTCAGGTTCTGCTTTTCGAAAGAAGGTAACTCAATGGAAAGTTCATAAAGCACAGGCTGGGAAACCCAGAAAACTCCAGAAATATAGTAGAAAAAGGTCGCGAATGGCATCTGTTATGAGTGTAAGGAGTTCCTTCAGAAAACAGCTGGGATGGAATGGCTTGAAATCAGACTTTGCGTATGGTCCAGTTCAGCAGTTCATAAATTCAAAGAGCATAACAAACAAACACTGGGAAGCAAACAGCCTTATTAATCTTGTCTAGCAATGAAATCAAAACAATGCACAGATGGCGAGGGGTGCGGAAACACTGCAATTCTATTGTAGGGATCTATCCGCACACAGACCTTCAAAACAACAGCAGCGATTCTAATTCTATGGACTAAAATAATATTTAGGTTTTTTCTTACGTCCTTTGGGTACGGATACTGGCCCCGTCTGTCGCGGTATCATACAGTTAACTGTGGCACAGATAAGCAGGACCGGACAGCAAACGCAACTATTTCATGACTAGCATCAATACAACCAACGTACGTTTAGCTTGGCAAACACTGACCAAAATCGAGAAAATGTCACAGAAATGTGCTGAAGGCGCCGAGGGCTCGAGCCCGTCAGTTGGTCGTGCGAGGCTGTCAACCGCCGGCACGTGAAGCTCTGAACGCCACACCGGAAACGCCGCGCGTCTCTCCGCTCCTTTCGGATGCCCCACACAGCGTGGGCCGGCTGACGCGCACTTTCACTCCCCCGCATTTAAATGCCTCATAATTACCGAGTGTCGCTGTCAGCAGCCACGTCAACGCAGTCAGTTTATGCGTACCACTGTAGAGGCTGCTATGATTTAGGTTTACCGGTGAGCGCACGACACACAGGGTCTGCTTCATGAAATAAACGCAACACAACTGAGCGTAGCTAGACTCGCAGAAACTTCAGCCATCAAACGATCAGCTGTTTGCTTTTTGGGGAAAAAAAACGATACGCAGACGTTTTAAATATTGATTCAACTTGCCATCTAACCTAAGCTTAAGATAAGTAGCAAATGTTTATAAAGGAGTAAGGCAATGACATATTTTGAAACCAAGTATCCAGCAATAACAGCTAACCGTCTAACTAGATTTGACTAGCATAATAAAAACCAGAAGACGAACTCAAAATATCCGATCACATTAAATACATTAGGAGCTCGCAATGTCAAATCAAAGCAGCCATCTAGACTCGTATCTTACCTCGATGGACGAATATTTCTCCAACTTCCTCGTAAACTATTTAGCAAGTGCTCCGAGTGCGGATCTGAAGCTGCGTCTTACCAACATTTAGCTGGCGATTTATACCGCTAGCAACACAGCCGTAGACCATGATTCACCTGTTCGTATAAACGTAATTTAACAATTCATCAGAAGGTGATCTAGTCGCTGATCAAGTGTACAGGGAAATAAACAAATAGCGACAGATGAACTGGAAAGAGAAATCCCCTGTCATTTGTTGCCTCAGACTGTGAGCCCTAATGGGAAGGTTTATTTCCCAACTGCGATTAAATCCCTAAATACCTGATCGTTGATGAAGTAAAACTTAAAATATTAGCATACCTCTGTAACAGACGGGTAATGCTCGCTTCTTATTTTCAGCCTTTCATCTCCATTTGGTGGGAGTCTGGATCATCTCTTCCCAGCTTCCGATTCTGGCCAAGTTGGTACACACAGGCCCAAGTCTGGCCGTCACTAGCCTGCAGGTCCTGCAAATTTTTGAATTTAACCGGCGACGCCACAGACATCAAGTGGGCGCAACTGACGAAACCGGAGTGCGTTGGTTGCCATTTTGGCTCTAATGTGTGTTAGGCGGAGCAGAGCATAAAAATAATCACAGTCGTATGATGTCATCTCGCAATTAATACGCCAAAATCTGAGGAGAGAGTCGCCGCCAGGGAGTGACGCGCGGCTTGAGATGCGCTTAAAATTACCCCTAAAACGGAGCGCATAAGCGGAATTGTCATTCGTATATGATTATGGTTCAGATAATACAGCTGCTCAGTGGAACACTGATTGTTGATTTCCGAGGGCCTTCTGTGGCCGGGAGACCTTAGATAGCTGTCCGGTTTGTGCCTGAAAATCAGTCGAATCATCTCAGCAGAAGAATATTATAATTTGGGGATTTTCTGTAAACCAGTCGCGTGCTCCTACTGCTCTTCATTTTTAGACATATTCATTTATATCACTGTCAACTATTTTGCCTTTTCATTATATCTGAAACCATTCATAATGTGAATTTAATCTGCGGTAAGGATGCGGACGCAATTCATAATTTTGATTACACTTATCCTAGATTGATGATCATTATTTAACGCCTACATTTTCGACGGTAGCAGGACCTAAACGACAGACAAATTGACATGAAACATGTTCTCTAAAGTGTATTTTTTATCTGGAATAGTTGATTTTTGCCTGGAAGAAACTGAACTATTAGCTACCTTAGATATAGTACTGTAACAATGGGAATTATTGAACATATAAACAAGCGTGTCACCGCCTATTTGAACTTTTCAGATTCCAACAAACACACGCCATGGAAGCGTCTGTGAAGACCTTCACTGCCAAGTCACCGTGTAGTGTGTACTGGCCGACACCGTGCGGAGATCGTGACTGAATGATTTCATCTTCTAATCGATAACATCCTTCTGTCGTCGTTTTGTGCTGCATAAGGGGCGCCACCTGCTGGCGTCTCAATATAAAAACACGGCATATAGTAAAAACAATAGGCATCACCGAACTACAATCAAAGGAAACTACACACTGAAGTATACTGTCAATAAATACATTTTCCAGAGAATACAATAAGAAAAATAACATAATTCTTATGCTATGGTTACCTGAGGATAAGCTAGATGCTTATATATTCTGTATATATTCCATTTATGAACCATGACAACTAGCGCATTTATCAGTTGATAACACGAGTACAGGACATTTCCTTATAGCAGTTATTTTTTTCTATAAATAACTTCATCCTTGAGTTACACAAAGGACAGCAAAAATTAAAATAGATTAAGACAACAGCTGACTTGCCAGCATTTACTTGAGGCAAAAAAGTTGTACAAAAACTGTGCATTTCACACTAATTTATGTACACAACAATTATTATAGTTGGGTTATGAAAATATATTAACAGTTGGCGTTACTGTTTAGTTTTCAACTGGGTCAACATTTCTGTAATGTAAATCTAAAACAAGAGATACTCAACAACTGAATACAAGCTGCAGCCAGTTACATTTAATACCACCAACATATAAGGTGCCATATTGTTTTATCAAACCATCATTTTTAAAATCATGTGCACACCACTAGAAATGAAAAACACAATTATTTCAATGGCTGAAATGAACAATAAAGTGCAAGAGACAAGCAGAAGGACTAGAGGGGTTGGAGGAACCGCTGAAAGCCAAGAAAACGAGCCCTTATTAAGGTGACATTTAGCCAGACTGGATCTCCCACTTCCTGCCTGGATCAGACATTAAATACACTTTAAAATATGGCTCAAACTCACACGTATCAAATCACTCAACAAAAGCATGTACAGGTCGATTAAAAAAATATATTGGCTTAAATATGTCAAAGTCAGAACTGTATTTCTGCATGACATACAAGTACGATGTGATATTAACTTCTTTTATACGTCCATTCATTCGTTTGCTGAATGAATTAGTCAAATTAAACTATACAAGTTCTCTATCTTCACGTGGCTAACTGAACTAGTCTTGGATGTGAGGACCTGTATGGTGGAACACTGTAAATAAGACTGGCAGCTGACATACTAGTCAGATTCCAGCGTTTCCACTATTACAGGCCTTTTGCACCTGGATTTTTTGTTTTCCTTGCATCTCCTGCAGCTGCAGTTCATCACAGAAAGTTACCTCTTACTGCAAAATTATTACAAAAGGAATTTGGTTTTGTTTTTGCTCCACGGGTAACAGACCCGAACCGTGCAGGACTACACCACAGTAAAGCACCTTTCATTGGGAAGAGACTTCTTAGGAAAGGAAAAAATTAAAGTGCTAAGCATTAACTACAGTTAAAAGTGCCAATTCAAAATGCTTAAATCTTTACAGCAAGGTTTTTGTGCCATCGGGAGTGATCGTCAAGCACAGTCCAACAGGCTCTTCACTGACTGTTGTTCACCTTTTTCTGTGAAGGTTTCAGATCTTTGCTCATTGATTCTGAGAGCCATGAAAGCATACATCCTAACTGGCAAATTATCTTAGGTGGAAGCCGTTTGCCCACAGTGGGTTTTTCCGATATGTAACAACTGGAACAAAGAGGGAAGTGCTGTCAGTCAGGTCAACGAGAAAGGTACAGGTGGTTCCAGGTGTGCCGAGAATGCTGTAGATACCATGACAACAAAGGGGCTGCTCAACATCCATCAGTGCTCATTGGAAGTGGTCAAACTGCATTTTCAAAATCATTAGATAAGATTCTGTCGCGTTTTTCAAAGCGCTTGGCGAGGAACCTCAAGTCACGATGTTGTCTTAGGATAAAGCAAATCTGCTGATCCTCTTGATGAAGGTTTGTGACGATCAGGTGGGTTCCGGGTAAGTTTGCCGGGGCAGGCAAAAAAGCACAGGGTGCTAGTAACAGAAATCACACAAACTTATACCATGAAAACAACAAATCGTCAAACAATCCCTTTTAAAAGTCAGACACTGAAAAAAATGGCAAGACAAACTTTTCAGTCAGTTAAAAACATGAAAAAAAAACCTAAAAAATAAAAATACCAGTACAGTGTCATACTGTAGATAAATGTGGCACTCAAACGTATGTGAAGTCTAAACCCGTATAGATATATAGCCCCTTGTTACATCATGACAGCATAAATTAAGTGATAGGCTTACAGGGACACAGAATTGCATTTACTTAGAAAAAAACATGCACTATTTATAACAACGCAGGCCTTAACTGCCCACTTCGTTACCGAGGGACAGGGTGCGCCCGAAGGGGGTGTCGTCAGCTGCCACCAATCACAGGTCATTAGTGGTTTGGCTTCGCCAATCTCATCGACTGCCATCGACGCCAATCACAGATTTTTCCGACCGATCAACAAAATATCACGACTGTTTCAAAGGGGACAGTGGAGGGGATCCGTATTACTGGTTCCTGGAAGCTCTCAGTGTCCTTTGCTTAATCTCCACTGGCATCTTTGGGGGAAGGGTAGTAGGTAGAGGTTGGGGGGGCTGGGTAGGGTTAGGGTATGTTCGCTTGCCCGCTGGCACCGGGCTGGGGACAGTCCGATTCGGCCTCAGAGGTGAGCAGGGGTTCGGAGAGGGAATCCACGGGGGTGAGGGTGATCTCGACCTCCTTATTCTCCAGCAGGGTGTCCAGGGCTGCAGCTGGAGCCTCGGCCTGTGACCGGTTCTCCCTTGCTACCGGGGCCCTCCGGATGACCTCCACCGCAGCCCTGCCCCCCTCCCAGCCGGGGCTCACTACGGTCTTGAGTGGGTGGCTGGCTCCTGGCAGAAGCAGGACAGGGTAGGGCATGGCCTGCGAGGTTGCGCCGGTGGCATTGTGCTGCAGCGTTAGCAGGCGATGGGAGGCACCTCCGGCATCCTCCGTGCCGAGGTCCAGCACCGTCGCGGGGGCGGAATCTTCCTGGATCACCAGCTCCATCACCTCCGGCCGAGGCTGCTGGGAAGGTACTGCTGAGGCAGGGAGTGCCTTTTGGATAACTCCCCCGCTCACAGGCACGGCAGCCACAGGCGTCGGCGTGGTCGGGGCCGGCTGCGCCGTCTCCTCTGGCCGGGGCTTTCTGGGCCGGCCCCGTTTCCTTTTGGGAGGGGTCCCTGCGCCCCCCGCAGCCCCATCAGCGGACACCGGCTCAGCAGTCCGCTTGGGGGCAGCCCGGGACCGCTGGACGGCCCCAGGTGCCGGTGTAGCCGGGACGGTGACGGCTGGGGGAGGTCTCTCCCTCTCGTGGTAGGACAGGCTCATGCCCGAGGGTAGGATCATGACGGGCAGCGTGGTGGGCATCGTAATGGGTAGCGTGACCTTCATGTCTTTGGGCGCCGGAGGTAAGGAGCGCACCGGCAGCAGGGCCTTGTCTGGGCGCCGTGGCAATAGCAAGGGGAAACGCTTCATCGCCGCCTCCACCTGCAGGTCGCGACCCCCAGTCTTCCCAGAATCTGCCCCTTTGCCCTGCTTCTCGGCCGACGTGGCCTTGCTAGGCGAAGCTTGCTCCCCTCCGTCTCTGTCCTTCTGGAAAAGGCAGACCGCATGTAAACGCTGATTAAACACTAATCAAATGCTGGTGGATTAAGTCGTTGGCGTTACTGGGCGGTCCGATGACTGACCAACGGATGCGGTACGTGACGCTGTCTACATTAAACTGCTCGTGTTGACATGAGACACCTTTACTGTCACGACTCTACTGTAAAAACATACGATGAAATTCTGTGTGGGACTCATGTGGAAAAACCAGCAATCTGGGCGAGAACAATCTGCACAGCAGAGATAATCATCAAACATACAAACTGTAACATTAAAGCAGAAGTGACACATGCAGAATGGGGATCAGTCCTTTCAGTTTCTGGTGCCTGAGGGAAGCTGGGGAAATCATCATGGAACCCAGTCACCTGAGTCAGTCCGCTACTGTCAGGCTGGTGGTGCGGCAGTGGGAGGGGCCAACACATAGCCAATCAGAATTCTGAGCTCCGGTCAATAAACCCAGTCTATCATCCTAACTGTTTGCACCGTCTCTAGTTTCCCGTACTTTGGCTAATACACTTTTTTATTCCTCCTCACCTGGGGTGTGCTGCCTGGAAAGACCCCTCCCCCCCCACCAAAAAAAAAATAATAATCAAGATATGGTACCTTGTTTTCAGAGCCACTCCCCTCTCCATCTGCACTGCCCCCTTTAGGGAGGGCTGGAGTCTTCTTCATCACCTTGTGAGGCTTTGCAGGGCCGCCTGTTGAAAAAGGAGAGGAGCGCTGAGTCCGGCTGACTCCGTAGGACGGGGTACCTTCACCCGCATGTGTGTCGGCACCACACTCGCCACCATGCGATTAACTGAATGCGAGTGTCACTAACCTGCCAAGGTGGCAGAGGTGACGAGTTCGGCCTGGCTACAGCGCGGGTTGACGATGTGCTCCTGCACCAGGAAGCGGGCGATCTCCACCACCGTGTCGAAGGAACGCTTCAGGATCTTCTCGGCCCAGTTGCAGATGAGCTCGCACGCCGCCTCCGTCACCTCCTGCTTGTAGGTCTGCACCAACTCCGTTAGCTCCGACTACAAAGTTAAAGAGGGAGCAGTCCAATGAGCGGCGGGCAGACGGCTGCTGGACACTGCCAGCAGGGCAAGGGCGGACATGGGTGTCGTACCGGATCGTTCTTGAGGTCCAGGCTGGGCAGCAGGGGCATGCTGAGCACGGTCTTCCGCCGGATCCCGCTGTAGCAGTATGTGTCGACGGCAGAGTTAAGGTCCCAACCGTTCTCACAAACAACTGTTAAAACTATCAATGACAAAAGCAAAAAGATCCATCCATCTTCCAACCGATTATCCTGATCAGGGTAGTGGAGAGTCCTGGGGTCTGTTTCAGAAAGCATGACTGCGTGCTTAGCCGGGTATCTTGTCAGACTTTAGGTAGCCTCAGCTAAATGTAAGTGGACAGAGATGTAGTCTAATTTCAACTGGGGTACCTTAAATCCAACTAGTTATGTTTAAGCAAGAAATGCTGCTTTTTGACAAAGGCCCCGGGAGTTAGTGCCAGGCAGCATATGTCATACACCCAGGAGAGGATGCCGGGCTATCAATGGGCACAAACACACAAACAGCATGAGCGATTGAGAGATACCTAATAGCCCTACTGCATGTCTTTGAACTGCAAACTGGATTACCCAGCATACATGGCGACAACATGCAACCTTCACAAGCAAGGAGGAGAGGCGGGATTCCAAACCACAACTCCAGAAGTGTGAGGCAGCAGGGTGAACCACCCTAAACACAAACAATCTCTACACAAACATGAGTAAACCAGCCCAATCATTTACACAAGACACTGTTCTGTACAGTCACCCATGTGCATATTTCACGGAAGCTATTTAGGAAACAGGAAAGGCCAGCAGATGGAGAGAGGACCGAGAGGATATTTTGACTGGCCCCTCCCACCAAGTCGCCGGGCCTTGATATTGGGGAAGATGTCACGGATGATCTTGCCGAAGTTGGCTGCACTGAGTGGCCGGTAATGTAGGTTGTCACAGTATCTCCTGGTTGAGAAACAGAGGAATCCAGCTGGAACATCACGACACGCTGGAGAGAAGCATTTAACTGGCATATCAGCGTTACATTACATCTGCATCATTTAGCAGACGCTTTTGTCCAAAGCGTTGTACAAGATTGGCAAACAGCACATTACAAACACAGGTGCTGTCGAGGAATGAGTGTAAGCAGGACTGCAGCAGGAACTACACAACATCTCCCAACAAAGCAAGAACCTAATCAGGAAATCATATCATTAAGAACAATCAGGGAACGTAGATGTAATGTAACGTAAGAATTAGCCTAGAATTAAGAGTCTGAATGACCTTTGCCCTCAGAAAACTACCCATCACAGGTGCCCATTTTCCATCCCTGCTAAGGTCTCCGAGAGACCCTGACACTGACTTGTAGGCCTCGTAGACGTCCTGCTTGGGCAGACAGGTGTCGGCGTGCTCCTCCAGGTGGCTGCGGATCCAGTTGCAAGTGTGCAGCTGGTCAGCCACATTGAAGGAGCTGGAATCGCTGCTGCTGCTGCTTGACGAGAAGAAGATGAGGCAGGAATGTAGAGGAGGCAAACAGAAGCTCCTGCCTCTTCGCCTGATTCCCCCAGTAAACTTCACATGTTAGCAGATTAAAGAGCCAGTTCACTCCAAAATGAAAAAAAAAACTGATGTTTTAGGGGGGCTTATGTGCTATGTCTCCATCCAGATTATTCTGCCCATCGTATCACTGTGCAGAAGATCTCGTCGGAGTGCTCGTGCTCATATCTTCTGTGCAGTGATGCAATTGCTGTGTGGAGCTTGGTAGAAGAAAATAGTTCCTACAATAAACTGCTTACTACAAAGTCTGTAGATTATGTTGAGTAACCGGGTCATGATTTCTGGTGTACTGCTGAATTTTTCAAATGTAGGTTTTTGAACACACTCAGGGCTACCACTGTCACCATGTCCCCAACTAGTCACCATGTCCCCAACTAGTCACCATGTCCCCAACTAGTCACCATATCCCCAACTAGTCACCATGTCCCCAACTAGTCACCATATCCCCAACTAGTCACCATGTCCCCAACTAGTCACCATATCCCCAACTAGTCACCATGTCCCCAACTAGTCACCATATCCCCAACTAGTCACCATGTCCCCAACTAGTCACCATATCCCCAACTAGTCACCATGTCCCCAACTAGTCACCATATCCCCAACTAGTCACCATGTCCCCAACTAGTCACCATATCCCCAACTGGCCCCCAGCTACAGGATCCGGCCCCTTCCCGCAGCAGAGAGGCACACCTTTTCTCCGCAGCTCCAGGGCCGGACGGCAGCTGCAGGTACAGGTAGAGCTTGTCGTTATCAGAGAAGCGCTGTACATCCTGCTGTAGAGGGGAAGCCAACTGAGCATGTGCAAACTCTCACTGACAACAGACAGCACAACTACAAAGATTCGGACACTTACCAGGATCGAGTCCACTTTGCACTGTATTGATTTGCTGTAAACATAAAAACTGCATGAATACAAACACAGAGTACAGAGGCCTGCCAAAGTTACACTGACAAAGCAACATACATTTCGTCTGAGCAAATGGGGTCAGACAGTCCCTGGAGCAGTTTGGGGTTAAGGGCCTCGCTCAAGCAACCGACAGTCAAATCACTCTGCTTGCCCTGGAATTTGAACCGATGACCTTCCAATCACGAGAAAAGTGTCCTAACCTACTGAACCACACTCAAGAGTGACAGGCATTATATTGATTCAATTAATTTCTATATAGCGCCTTTCACAACAGTCTCGACCCGAGGCGCTTTGAATGGATGTGTAAATTTCTTATGCTCTTATGGATGACCGTTGGATGGATAGATGAATACTACTATTGTTAACACTCTCATTATTATTATTATTGTCACTGTTATTACAGTTTAATTAAAATAGGAGCCCTTAAACCAAGTGATTAAAAAATACAGAAAGTTACAGATGCAAACAACAATATTATCACAACGATCTACAGGTGGCAGAGTCCTGGGGACAGTCAATGTGAGGTCTGTGACGGGACAGTCAATGTGAGGTCTGTGACGGGACAGTCNGGGACAGTCAATGTGAGGTCTGTGACGGGACAGTCAATGTGAGGTCTGTGACGGGACAGTCTTACGAGATGTTGCTCTTCAGCTTCTGGAGCAGCATACTGGGTGCCGAGTCGCCCTCGTCTGCTCCAAAGCTCTCTCTCCTGGAGGCCACTGACCGCACACCATCTTCCGCCATGGCTTCCGCACACCTCTGTGCCCAACCACATTCAGAGCCCACCGGGCATCAAAATCTGGAAACAGACGACAGTGAAGTGCAGCTTTCAGACACCAGGGGGAAGTCTACTGTGCAGCTTCAGCAAAGCACTTAGTCTGAAATTAATAAATATACAGCTGTAACGAGCTAATCCAAATAACTTTAAGTCTCACTTAATGTCCGGATGTCTGTCAGGCTTTTACTAAAACTTTTCAATGTCAAGGATGTGGATCTACCATTAGTATTAAGCATCGTCATCTGCATAAAACACCCGCACTTATTTTGACTTGAACAGAAAGATACCAATACTAAGTGTACTATGGTGGCAAAGTCCAGACAAACATGAATAAAACACAAATATTGATGGTGTATTAATAATGATATCAATATCATTCACATAATCGACAATAAAGTCTTCTCAAAGCTAATTTGGTGTCAGAATGTCTGGAAGCCAAACAGGAAAATAAGTCAATTCCAAAGATAAAGAAATAATTGATTGATTGAATTAATATCTTTATTGTCACCTTTCATGTGCAACGAAATTAGATGCCAACCAATTACTGAAAAACAATTTAAAACGTTTTAAAAGTAGGTTGTTCATTTTGACTTTTGGAAATACGGTACTGCTGCATGTTCGCTAATGACTAAAATAATTCCATAGGCTTCAGTATTTACATTACTTTCTCTTCATGAGTAACATTCCGAGAGCACATGGTCTTTGGGATGTAAAACACGCAGAAAATACCCTTCCAAATCAATCTGAAATGCTGGATTACATTTTAATTGAGTTATTAAATAAGTTTAAAAGGCGACTAAGACACGTTTTCTGTCCCGTTCACACATGGCTCATGCCTTAAAAGGCCGGTAAAGAAGCGCTCAAGGTCAGGGCGGCACTCCGGGGGAGTTCGGGCCGAAAGTGAGAGGACCGTCGGCAGGGGCGGACACTCCCACCTCGGCGGCGTCTCCCCGGCGTCTGGGGAGCGTCTGTAGCGGGAAGCGCGCATTCTTACCGTAACTATGAGAAAAAAAACAGCGCCCGACTCCGAAGTTTATACATCAGTGGCGGGCAAGATTTTCAGCGTGAAAACGGCTAACAGCACCATCCAACTGAACATGTGTCTTTTAAAATTTTTGCCTGGAAATCCAGGGTAGTTCCCCCGACGTAACCACAGGAAAGGCATACAGACAGTACGAAACGAAGCATTTTTTTAACACCTTACACACACACACACGTATACAGCGGTGTTTGTGCGAAACGATGAGTACTTTGTCTAAACGTGTGTGCAGCGGCGCTGCTGACTTGTAACGTTGGCCAGCAGCAGTCTCTCAACTTTTTTTTCCCTCCATGAATATCGTCGCCGTCGTTCTGCATGCTACGGTCATGCGCTTAAATTCACATACTTCCCGCTTTCTTAGTATTTTTCGACGGACCTTTCAAGGGTACCGGGCGTCGATCGCGGTTCTCCTAGACACGTAGCTAGTAACACGAACCATAAAGTTTATAAACTATCGAGGCTCGCGAAATGTAGCCGATGCAATTACGCCGAGTCTAGCTAAGTCACCAGCTAATAAACACATGTAGCTAGCTATCGTAGGTAGCCGAATATCGCTATTTCATCTTACTGGCTAGCTAGCCAGGCTAACGAAAAGCCGTGTAAGGCTTCGTAGCTACAACGTTTAATTTCCGCAACAGTTCTCGCGAAAACCTCTTGCATTAAATGTTAAACGTTAACAACGAATTTCAACCGTATATAAAGATTGTGTATTTAAAAAAAGAAATAAGAAAGTACCTGACTCAAAGATACAGCAAAAATCCCCTTTCAGTTTTTTTATGATTGGACAACTGTGTCATGTCTGCCTGACTACCGAATAAGAGTCAATTGTGATTGGTGGATTGTAGTCTTACTACTCGGATACTGAGTTTATCTTAAATTCGATTGGTGAAATTTGTTTATTTTCTTGCAAAAGTTTATTGTGATAGGAGATTATGTGCTAATCTGCCCAGTAACGTAAATTAATGAATCATCCATTTTAGTCTGCCTAGCAACGTAACCTAATGGGTGTTGTGTAGAAGCGTTCTCATCAGGTGATATCTAGCGTTTACATGCTGCAACCGTAAACATTTTATGCATATAAATTCAGTTTAGCAAATTATATGGTGTCATTCTGTTTTTTAAAACATGTCACACTTCCCACAAATTTCCAGCTTCACATAATGTAAAGGCATAATTACTGCCAAGTTTTCAGTTCGATTCAGATTGAAGGCTTTAAATCCCACATACGGAATCCTTGAGTAAAAGATTTTAGATGGCTATATTTTAAAATAATCTTCTATTTTTCTATGCATGTATGTGAATTATTTAAGTAATATCCATGCCAATTCCTACTGCCATACTTCTGCTACACACTCACGCTTGAAACAAAAACCTATCTATCTTCCAATGTCCCACAATGCACTTTGCCAGTCTTTAACATGGCTGCCAACATCCGTAGTTTTAAAAGAAAAAGTGACATAATTTCCGCCAGTTTTCAAAATGGATTCTAGCGGAATGAAGCTTAGTTTTTGGGAGAATGGGCCGAAACCCGGTCAACTTTATTCTTTTCCAGGGAATAACAGCAGTACAGTACCTGGATGTGGACCCGTTCGCCATACGTTGTAAGTATATCTTCTCCCATTTATTAAGTTTCTTCTTGGAAAGTGTATTTCCAGTGAACATTGTATGACAGTTTCGTTTTCCCCTAGCTGTGCTGTATCATCATGGTGGAAACTAAACAATTGGGACGTCGGGTGTTTTTATATTTGTAACATTTAACGATGCCTATTATTAATTTCTAATTTTACGTTGTATTCACAATGTATATTTCTAATGTATTTAATATTTATGCTTTTAATGACTAGCTAGCTGCAGACTGCGTACCTCCGTTCGTTTTATAGCCATCTATCCTCTGCTTTAAAAAGTAGTGTGAAAGGTTGCATCTTTAAACCATGGTCACATAAGGCGATTTTGTATTGAAGAATTGGCCCTAACACCTGCTAACCGCTGTGTAGGTCTGAGCAGAAGTTACATAAAGCCTGATATTCTAATAGTCATTCACATGCATTTTCCATTACTAACATTGACTGTATAAACCATTTGTTCAATCGATATGCCACTTGAGTACATTGTGTGCGTTTAAGAATTTTTTTTTTATTGAAAGATTAACGTGAAACTCGAACTATATTTTAAGAGCCCTTCCTTTACAAATTTAGCTTACTCATACGGGTGTATAAATTTGTTCTTACAACTTTAATGTTTGTATTGACAGTTAAAATAGATTTCTGTGCCATAGTAAACCATATGTATACATATGATCTTTTGTTTAAAGTATTTGTATAATTAAATAGCAAAGAGTATTAAAAAATAGCATTAATGGTCACTTCTCTTTGCAGAAACCCGATGGTAACGGGTACGTCTGTACTGGGCGTGAAGTTTACTGGTGGGGTGATCATCGCCGCCGACATGCTGGGTTCCTACGGCTCGCTGGCACGCTTCCGCAACATCTCCCGCCTGATGAAGGTCAACGACAGCACCATCCTGGGCGCTTCTGGGGACTACGCAGACTACCAGTACCTGAAACAAATCATTGAACAGATGGTGTAAGTCTGATGTTACTAGTTACAATTGCCTTATCTCGCTAACGCTTTTGTCCAAATCGACCTACCAGTGAAAGTAGGGTCAGAACTGGACCAGTTGGGGCTTAAGGGCCTTGCTCAAAGGCCCAACGGTAAAATCAGTCTGCCGACTCTGGGATTTGAACTAGCAAATCACAGGCACAGCGTTCTATTCTGCTGAGCTGAACTACACTCTTGTTACTAGCCTTCTAAAAATGTGGTAGTGTTTGAGTGCATTTGCGCTGTATCGGAAGTCACCGTTACTCTTGAGGTTTGATGTCCGACCCTTCATGTTTGGAGAAGCTAATGGAATGGACGAATGTGTGTCTGTAAGCAGGAGTGTATCCACAGGCTATCGCCACTCATGCGTCGTCACTTGTATGTACAGGATTGATGAGGAGCTGTTGGGTGATGGTCACAGCTACAGTCCCAAAGCCATCCATTCCTGGCTGACCAGGGTGATGTACAATAGACGCTGCAAGATGAATCCCCTGTGGAACACTGTAGTCATTGGTGGATTTTACAATGGAGAAAGGTGAGAGGAAGCGTGGCGTGCAATATTCATCAAGTTCATACTTGAAACTAATGGAGACCTGTTAAATGAAACTGTAGATGTGACTTAGGGAGATGATTTCCAGTTTCTCTTGTTTGTCCTTAGTTTCCTTGGCTATGTGGACAAGCTGGGAGTGGCCTATGAGGCTCCCACGGTGGCAACAGGGTTTGGTGCCTACCTGGCTCAGGTAAGCAGACTGAGCATTGGCTTTGATAGCAACAATCAACAATATTAGTGAAACTGTCATTGTAACACAAATCTTTAGATACATTTTTTTGACATTGTCCTAACATAACTTTTATTGATGGACATGTTGAAAATTCATTCATACTTTAAAAAAAAAAAACCAACATTTTTGTTTATACCGTTGTGTATACAGTCCAGATGAAGTGCTAGAATTGTGCGTATGTGATTGGCCTGTTTCTTTGCAGCCCCTAATGAGGGAGGTGGTGGAGAACAAGGTGGAGATAACAAAGGATGAAGCAAGAGCACTAATTGAGCGCTGCCTCAAAGTGCTGTATTACCGTGATGCTCGCTCCTACAACAGGGTATGTCTGTCAGAAGAGCTTCTCAGAGCAAATCACCACCAATTCACTAAACTCCATTGCATATTGATCAGTCATGACATCTTTGGGTAGCCTTGGAAGGCTTCTCATTTTTAATGCCATAGAATTGCTGCAGACAACAGACTCATCTTATGGATATCGATGCCACATTTATCATTGATTCGTGAACGTTTGTCTGTATATAAATGACAGAGTGTGTATTACTAGCCCCATCAGCATTTTTGTAACATTTTTATTTCAGCATGAAATTGCCATTGTCACGGAAGCTGGGGTAGAGATTCTTGGGCCTTTATCATCGGAGACAAATTGGGAGATTGCCCAGATGGTCAGGTAGGTTGTCTTTGACTGCATGTGGATTCTAGAGTTATGATAAATACCAATTCTTTGGAATAGGACAAACTATTAATCAGATGTTGACTGTGAAATTCTCTGGATAAATCATTGGTTATATAAGAACCTGGTGCAGCATTTTGAAAATCTAAGTTGTATGTTTCAGCCCTTTGAAATTCTTTCATCTGTTTGAATTGCAGTGGCTTCGAGTGAATCCTGATTGGCTGCCATGAACACTCTCCTTATTCACCCTCACTGCAATGTTCTAGCTCCCTCACTATGTAATCAGTTTAATTTTTTGTAAAAGGAAATAAATGTACACATTAAACACTGTTGGGTCATCCCTACATAAAGCACCATTCACTTTTGTTTTTGAGAGCAAAGTTTATACTGATTAAAAAAACTTTAATTCTGGAAAATGTTCCTGAAGATGGGGCAAAGACTACTGCACCATATGAAGGCTGGGTATCGCCACTGCTTTCCCGAATTCATTTGATTTCCGATTCCATTTTATTTGAATCAATATTGATTGTGACACCCAAAAGTTAGTAATTCAGTGTATCCTAATGTTTATTAAATTCAGTTAAAGCAGCATGCCACATGCTAGTTTTTTGGTATATCATGTAAGCAATAAGCATTCAAGTGGCAATGAAGAAAGGGACGGTTCAGCAGCCGCAATCTATTTTAAAAAAGGAGATATTGTGGATAATCAAGGCAAAAAGATGGTGGTGTGGTGGTGCGTTTTGCAGTTAAAAGTCTGAAACGTTTATTAAACATAAGGATACTCCAAATTTATACAGCTTAACTCTTGGGCTTCACAAAGATGCCTCTAAATATTTTAGGCATACTACTAATCATCAAATAGTGGGCGAACATAAATTTTGAACAGCTGGCGTTTGGGCAAATTTTTATTCCTGTTATCTGAAGCCCTTCAGCCACATATCACTGATGCGTATCCGCTGACAACTCACGCCAACACCGGCAACTTATGACACACACTATTGGTAGATAAGTTCTGCTTGGCTACAGTTTGTTTTGTCATAAATACTGCACTAAGCACAAATACAGTGGTACCTCAGAACTCCGGACTGAATCCTAAAAAGTTCGAGTTCTGATCAAATTTTCCCCATAAGAAATAATGGAAAACCAATTAATTGGTTCCCGGCCCCAAAAAATTACACTGAAATGTTTTTTTTTTACCATTTAAATGAACCGGACAAAACAAGAAAAGCATATACTGTACTAAACATCTAAGCACATTTATCAAAACAGTAATTTTTAAAGAAAATGTATCCAAACAATTTGTAAAGTAAAAAAAAAAAAAAAACGTGTCATGCCTCAATTGTCCGCTCCTTCCATGTGCCACGCCCCCTCGTTAACCCCGTGTGGAATCCCCATGTGATCAGCTGTTTCTGGTTGTTGTCATTAGTCCTCTGTATTTAGTCCGCGTTTCAGTTTGTTTCCCCAGCCCGGTCATTGTATTGTCCGTCTGCGTTTTGCCTGCCTTACCTGTAATTAAACCCCGTATTCCCCGATACCCTGACATCTGCGCCTTTGTCTCCGCTCCGTCCCCGCTGGGCACGACAATATTATTATAATTAAAATGTATTAATGGTTTATTATTAATATTAAAATAAGAAGTCTATTTTTAAATTTTTAAAATTCTTATTATATAATAATT